TCTGTTTCTCATTGTTATTTTAAAAGAAAAATATCTTATGGTACAGGCAAGACTGTCCAATAAGGGCAATTATACCTGTCTTTGTCATTTCGCCCCATTAAAACTTTCTAAGATTAAAAGTAAAAGCATTAAATAGAAACAACAGGTCTCTTAAGCAGTAAACAAATACTGAATTAACCCCATTCATTAGTTTAATAAATTGGCATTTTATGTTGTCATTTTCCAGGGCCAGGACACCTTGTTATTGTGAATCTCCATTGCAACTCTTGTTCATTATTCCTTTCATGTACCCACTGGTCCATTTATTTTTCTATTCACTCAAACCTGTGAGTTTCCCTTGGCACATTGTTATTGCTTATCACTAAATTACTAAGGATACAAATCTTAATAAGATGCTGTCCCTATTCTTTGGAAACTTGCATTTGAGGGCTGGACACAAAAGAAAATATCTTGGCTGGAGCAAGAAATATATGCAGAAGTACTAAATTAATGGCAGTGGGTATCTGGAGTAGTTACATTAGATGAAGTTGAAGAAAGTATGTACATCTCTTTTCCTTAATTGTGAATTATGGGATTTCAGCAATCGTGGAAATATTCACCATAATGCAAAACTAATTGATATTTACCTCAAATTTATTTATCAAGCTGAATAAATGCATTATCTTTGTACAAGTAATCTTTCATGATTTACCAATATGATGATATAATAGAGTAGGGATAAAGGTAGACTTGGGCTCAGTGAGTCTTGGACCAGATTTTACCATGGTTCAGCATGTGACTTCGTCAATAATGTTATCATATAGCGGATACTTGGAAAATAAGATAATAGAAATTAATGCTATTGGTTCCACTCTCTAGAATCCCCTATCATGTTTTTAGTTCTTTGTTACATTTTATGTCTATGATAGATTGCATTGAAATTTAAACAAAATTCTAAAATTAAATATAGGGAGATAAAGCACTTTCTGTTTATTTCTTTTGGGATGGCAGACTTCGTATGAAGTGCAGCCAGGCTGCACTATGATTTATCAGAATTCCTCGGATAAGAGTCGAATTTGGGAGTGAACTAGCAGGAACCTTATTCCTACAATATCTGTCTTGTTTGTTTGCCAGTAGCAAGTGCTGACTGGGAGAAACAAATCCCTGAGGACAAAGGCAGCCATGTCCCAATTTAGGGAGAATCCATCATGTATAATTTGTAAATTCTCCAATGTATTGCTGAAAAAACCTCTAAGTGTTTTCTGTGTTTGGATTTGTACGGTTGTGATTACATAGAAAAACATAGCCAACTTTATGAACACGGTAAAAGTCTGAGGGCCTCCTGTGTGCAGTGGTCACATGGAAAATGCATTATCTGCTTTGTAGATCTTTCAAATAGAACAGAGATAGGCCCTTACTACCAGGTACCAGTATATGATGAGTCCTAGTTATTCACAGTGAGTTCCCAGAATCTGCTATGGGAAGAGCCTCATGGGTGCAAAGGAGAAATTGACTCCTTTTCTCATTTCCAATGGAAGCTAGAACCGTCCTGGAGTCTCTGGGGAAGGGGCAGATGTATAACTGTCAGACTGTCTTCACTGGCTATAAATCCCCAGTGCTGCACAGATTATTTATGCCCTGCTGGATTATGAGAACTCTTATTAGTCTTATCACTTAATTTGGAGAATTGAGAAAGTATTTGCATTACACTTACCATACTTCCTCTGTCTAGAAATTTCCTAAGAATTTACAACAGAGAGACAATTTTTAAGACAATAGAGAATTTATCCTCCAAAGTGGGATATATTTTTTCAGGTATTTGTTTTTATGTATTTATTTTTATTATTTGCTTTATTGTTAATATAAAGGTGTACACTGGGATTATAATTATATGAATCAGGTAATGAGTACATGACCTTTAGTACGGTGTCTTCCCTTCCCTTACTTTCTCCCAGAGCAGGATTGTTTTAAGAGTGAAGAATTACATGTATAAACTAGGATTTTTTCTGAAGCAAGATAAGTTTTGACTTAATAACCAAGCTTTACTTGAGATGCCTTTGCTTTTATATCTCCTACTTTTTGGTCAAACACTAACTATGGCTAGATGTTACTTATAATCCTGTAGGCAACCTAAATGTGAGATATCATATTTGTGGAGATCACCACTACTTCTCTGAGAGATGTCAATGTCAGAAGTAAAATTCGTTGCTATTCCATTAGAAAGAGTTATCTTTCAGCCTCACATATAGATAAGTCATTTCTGAAAAATCAGTCCTCTGGTTGGGTTGTGCCTCTTGCTGCCTGTATTTTTTAAAAAAAGAGCTGACTGATTCTGTCACCTGGAGTCAGCCATCTCCTGGCTGAACCACAGTCCTCCATCATACCTCACTTCAATTTCTGAACATTTTAATGACCCAGCCCATGTTTTAAAGAACTCATACCTATTAAAACTTGAAAAAGTGGAAATCTGTATAATTGTTGGGGATTTATAATAAATGCACACACAGGATAACTGTAATACCTAGAGATACCATGGAATCACCAGTTCCTAAGGACAGATGGCATTTAAGAGCTTAAAAGATGCTAGCTGTGAAAAGACTCTATGGACTGAACACGGAGATGAGCTTTAGTGATAAAAGGCAAAGCTAGAGTTGACAGGATCGTATCTAGGCCTTTCCTCTTTCCTTGGCTGGCATGTCATGAGACAGCAGTGTAGAACTGCAAACTATATCCACCACTCAATGTTCAATTTAGGCCTTGTCAGGATAATAGAACCAATAGTAGCAGATTGTCCCTGAGTTAATCCCCACATCAGGTTTCTATTCAATGTGATTCCCAGAGTGCATTTTACTCATCATGTTTTATGTTAGAAAATTTTGTATTTATAGATTCTATAATTCATATATTCCCAGGAGAACCAGAAGATTCCTAGCCTGGAATCATTATATTCCAATTCCTCAGTACATGCCAGGGGTGGGGGTAAATTCTATATGAATGGGCTGACCCCGGCATAGCAGTCAACAAGTATTCTTTCTGTGATGGAATCAGCAGCCAAGTTTAGCTCACAGAGAAGACTCTGGGCCTGGAATATCTATGCACTAAACCTAAATTGTACAGGAAGGAATTTCACAAGAAAGTGCAAAGCCCAGGGGACTTATTTTCATTAGGAATGAATACAGGATGAAGGTCTTTGATTAACTTACTAGTAGTCAGTCAACCAGCAGTTTCAAATGAATTAGAAAAGTAGCTCCTCAACTGTGTTCCCTAGAGCATGAGATGTTTAAGATATTCCAAGAAAAAGAATTCATCTATGACATAAAGTTAGGAGAAGCTTTGTAAGGGACTCATTGTCAGGAAAGACCTTTGTGGATGAGCAGCCTTCAGTCATGCCCTTTTACCTGTACCTTTGCCAAAGGGGCAGCCTGCTTTGATTTGCTGGCGCTTTGGTAATTTGTTTAGCAATCAGTGTTAAAATATGAGTACTCATTTGTTAAGTTAATTACTTCCAAGTTCTTCTCCTCTCTTTCCATACAGGTATAGCTAAACGACCAAGTCTCTTATATTACAACATTTTATTTTATATAAGCATACATATGAAGGGATTTATTATGACATTTCCATGTATGATTCAATGTACTTCTATTCCCTACTAGATCCCCCTCCCTCTGTTTCCAGGACCTCGTTTTGGGGTTGAGTACTTTTCTTTTTAGTGTTCTCCTCACTTCCACAAGTAAAAGACAATATAGGATACTTGTCTTTGTAGGAATGGCTGATTTCACTTAATATGATAATTCATTTTCTATTAAATGGCTTAATTTCACTTCCATTGTATATGTATTAAAATTCTATTGTGTATGCCTCTTCTTTAACCATCATCTGTTGATAGTCACCTAGGCTGAGTCTGTAATTTGGCTATCATATTATGTGTTGCCATAAGCACATGTACACAGGTGTCTTCACTATTAGCTGAATTTGAGTATTTAGATTATATATCTAGAGGTGATGTGGCTGTTTAATCTTGATATTTTAAGTAACCTTGGTACTGGTTTCCATAATGGATGTGTTACTTTACATTCCTACCAACAGAAAGGGTTTCTTTGTTTCTGAATCTTCATTCTCATTTGTTATTATTTGTTTTTTTGTTTGTTTGTTTTTGGTCCATCATGGGGCTTGAACTCTGGACCTGAGCACTGTCCCTGAGCTCTTCAGCTCAAGGCAAGTGCTCTGCCACTTGAGCCACAGCACCACTTCTGGTTTTCTGGTGGTTAATTGGAGATAACATTCTCACAGACTTTCCTGCCCGGGCTGGCTTTGAACCACAATCCTCAGATCTCAGCCTCCTGAGTAGCTAGGAACACAGGTGTGAGCCACTGGCACCCAGCTGTTATTTGTTTTCTTAACAATAGCTATTCTGATCAGAATGAGATGGAGTCAATGTAGTTCTGATATGATTTTCCCTCATTCTATGGATGTGTTGGCTATTTGTGTGTCTTCATCTGAAATGTATCAATTAAGTTCATTTTTACAGACGTTCTGTTTTGATGATTTCCTAATTTGTTTTTATTTGAGTTTTTCACCCACCCTGCATACATTGATTTCATATAAGACAATATTTTTTAAATCAGCTAAGTAGTACTTAATTCACAGTTTCCTGAACGAAGCTGTTCATAAATATCTCCAAAGAATACAAAGTAGTGCCTGGAATTAATTTAGGAGACAGTCATATATACTGATTAACAAATTGGTACCACATGCCCTCTATGTAGTTTTCGGTTAGTCAGATGTAAACATAGCATTTGCAGTTAGGAGCAACATTCATCCAATATGTGAGAAAGCATCTATGAACAGTGCTTTCAATTGGTTTAAATTCTGTTAAAAAAATGGGATTTTTTTTTTCCTATAGCTTTCATTTTAGGTGACTTTTCCATTATAATTCATATGTTGAGATGAGCATGCTTATAGAAGGGTTAGTGACAAAAGGCATTAATGTCCTGGTGGGCTTGTGTTTTTCTCTGAGGCAGATATTGATGAATGTACAGAGGGAATCATTGAGTGCCACAACCATTCTCGCTGCGTTAACCTGCCAGGGTGGTACCACTGTGAGTGCAGAAGCGGTTTCCATGACGATGGGACTTATTCACTGTCCGGGGAGTCCTGTATTGGTAAGCAGCTTTCAGTCCTCCAGTCCCGCATGGACATTGGCAGGAAGGGCAGCCTTCTTCAGTACTCTGCTTAGTTGTCAGTGATAAAATATAACCAACCAGGGGATAAATTCATTCATTTTTTTTTTAAATTTCCACCTTCTACGATGTGGAGATTAAAGCAGGGATTCTGCAGTGTTTGGTGTTAGAACTTTTGAATTGAAACTGGGGCAGTCACAGGACAAAGCCTAACTTCTGTATGTTATAGATGTCTACATCTTTTTAGGGACACCCAAGATGATTTGTGGAAATAGTTGACAGTGTGAGAGGCAGCTGTGGAGAAGAGGAAAGAGTTCCAAATTCAGAATTTGGAAGTTCAGTTTCAGCCCCATTTTTTGTATTTCAAAAGTCATTGTACTTCCTGGTCCTGTGTGTGCATATGTCAGACTAAGAATAATAGATACATATATGGTTATGTTTCAGTGGTATGGTATGTATTTAAAAACTGCAACCTTTGACTAAATGCATATAGGCAACACAGTTGCAAAGTTACCTCCAATCACCATTCTGCTTGTGTCTTGTTAAATGCTGTACACAGGGAAGGTTAACAGATAGAATTATTCACCTTCCAAACCTGCCAAGTTTGATGAAATCCAAACAACTGATCAAAAATGTCATTGTTCCCAATGTCTTCTTTCATGTCATGTGGGCTCAGCTGAATTCATAATGTTTGAGAAACCTGGAGGGCAAATATTTTGATTAGAAGTTCAAACGTTCAGGCTACTGAATTAGTGGAAATATGATTTGGAAAACCTGTGATATCTGCTCATTGCCTACTACTCTTTTCATAATAGCTTCTACCAGGACCTGGTTAGTGCTGTTCTAACTTCTCCACATTGTTGCCATAATGCATAGATGAATTGGGGAATAATGGGCATGGGGCTTCAATTGTACACCATAGTCTTTAAATTACTGTTATGTGTAGTATAACAGTTAAAAGCATAGACCTCTGGGCTGGACTTCCACAGTCAAATGACAGTTTTGTAGTTCTAAATAAATTTTTATTTGGAAAATACTTACCTCATGCCTGTATCTAATTAATAGAAGCATTCTGATAATTGATTGCATGTTAGATATTATCTTAAATGTTCCTTCTTATTTCTCATTCTGCTCCATACTCTATCCATATTTCTCTGTGTACATGTGGGAGGTAGGTAGGTGTGGGTAAGGGTGTGTGTGTGTGTGTGTGTGTGTGATTTGCAGTTTCATGGGAAGTTTACATTTATCCTAGGTCTTCACTTTTTTTCCTTACATACTATCAGATATTTTTCCATGTGTGCAGCTCATAAAAAATATGTGGATAAGAAAACATTAATTGGCCAGGCACTGGTGACTTCCTCCTGTAATTGTAATTACTCAGGAGGCTGAGATCTGATGATTGAGGTTTAAAGCTAGCCCTAGGCTAGCTTTAATTAGTAAAAGTCCAGAAGGGGAAATGTGGCTTAAGTGGTAGAACTCCAGCCTAGAGTCAAAAAGCTAAGGGAGAGTACAAGACTCAGTTCAAGCCCTAGTACCAGCACTAAAACAAAACAAAAATGAACCATTAAATAGCTTTTATTGAGAAATGGTGATAGAGACAATATTAACATTGATGGCTAAAATAAAGCCTTACGTTTAAAAAATTACATTTGATGTCATTAGGACAGAGGATGCTTAGATCGGTAGTGCATCAGAGATCACCTATTAAAGCAGTTTTATAACTGCTGGAACTTGCCCTGGTGCTGTACTTTCTTAGGCCTTGGCATATGCTGTGCCCTCTGACCTTAATGGCATTTCATGTCTCACTGATGAGCTTGTATTCCCTGCCCTAGATTCAATATGTTTCACCAGGCCCTGTGAAGGGTTTTGCGATCTCTCATCTATTCTGCTGACTTGGACCTTTTCCCTGGTATAGGCTGTAGTAACTTCACTGTCTCCCAGTGTAGTTTCTTTGCTCTCCAACTGGACTGTGTGCTGGAGATGTGCTTTATTCTTCTGTCTCTCCAGTGAGGTCTCTTAGCAGATGTTCTCTTAGTAGATGTTCTCTAAATAAGAAAATGCAGCCTGGGAAGGTGGCTCAGTGGTAAAGTGCTTGTCTTGCTCACATGAGGCCCTGGGTTGGATTCCTTAGCACCACATAAGCAGAAAAAGTTGGAAGTGGTACTGTGGCTCAAGTGGTAGAGCAGTAGCCTTGAGCTGAAGAGCTGAGGGATGGCGCCCAGGCCCAGAGTTCAGGCCCCACGACTGGCCAAAAAAAAAAGAAAAAAAGAAAAGAAAATGCAGTCACATCATGTGACCAATAATCCAATAATAAGAAAAGACCAAAGCCTACTATGTTGAGGGAAAAGGAGAGTGAGAAAGAGAGAGGGAGAGAGAGAGAGAAAGAGAGACAGAGAGAGAGAGACAGAGACAGAGACAGAGACAGACAGAGACAGAGAGACAGAGACAGGGAATGCAAGCAGTTGTTTCATCTTTGAGCTGATTCCTGTCCTTCACAAAAACTCTCAGCATTTTCTAATGGGAGTAGAAATGTTTGGATGTATGGCATTTTTAATTTGGTTAATTGTTCATAGGAATTTTCTTCCACTTTCATTTTCTGAATGGGCTTCATATGGACAGAAATCTGAGTATCACTTAGTGTTTTGTCAGTATTGAACAGTACTCTCTGGGTTTGAAGCATCTCCAGGGCCAACATGTATGTACATTCAATCATGCAGCTTTCTTGTTATGAGTCATGTCTAAAGTAATATGTCAATTACCTTTTCATTTAATTCAAAACAAAGTTCTCCCTCCACATGGCCTTCAGACTTAGGTAATACTGCCCCTGCTTCCCCCTCAGCTTCACCTCCTGTATGTTATTCTTGCTGATCTTTTCATACTCTGAAACTCTCATACTCAGCTTGTGGTTTCCATATTTAATTCTTTAAGTCTCACATCAAATGTTTTTTTTTCAAAAATTACTTTGTCTTTCTTCAGTCACTTCAGTACTATATTCTTTTGAATATACATTTTACCATTTTTCTCAAAACTCCTGTGCATGAGTGTGCATTTAAACAACTCTTGCTTCACGTTCACAAATTCTTTGGGAACAGAGACCTTGCCTGTCCTTCACTACTGTACCTACATCTCCTAGAATAATGAAGAAAAGTAGTCAGCATTCTATGCATCTTTGTCAAATGACTGAAGGAATAGACATTCAAAAGCATACCAGGTCAGCTGTAGTTTCTATTTGGATTGACAGAAGTAGTTCTGTAAATTGTGCAGTATGGCATATGGTGTTAGCCATATGAGTCTTTTACTTCAGAAAAAAGAACTGTCACAGCAGGACTGCATTAGCTCTTCTCTGAAGGTAATGGGGGGCAGGCATGTTAAGATCCCTATTCCTGAGGGACTTATGACTTGAAATATCCTGAATTATAATAACACAGCTTAGTGGCATTGGAAGTAGGAAATACATCAGAATAAACAAACAATTAAGGTTGTATTAAGAATCATGTGATGGGGGCTGGGAAGTTGGCTCAGTGGTAGAGCACTTGCCTTGCATGCCTGAGGCCCTGGGTTCGATTCCTCAGCATCACATAAGCAAAAAGAAAAAAGCCAGAAGTGGCCTTGTGGCTCAAGTGGTAGAGCCCTAGCTTTGAGCTGAAGAGCTGAGGGACAGCGCCCAGGCCCAGAGTTCAGGCCCCACGATCAGACCCTCCCCCCAAAAAAAAGAATCATGTGATTGAAAAATGTAACTCAAGTTTGGGAATTGCAAATGTTAGAATCTAAAATGTGGCAGTTCAGGCTTCCAGAGCAGTCTCCATCTCTCACTTTGTGGCATTTTAATTGTTTTTTTTTTTTTGTTACATGCAGACAACAGCACCTGCTCTATTGATCTCATCAGCTGCTGCAAGCAACATGTGTTGACATCACAAAGAAACATACTTTGATAACATTTATTATTTTATGAACATCAGTGTTTAATGTTTGCCACCTTTCCCCAAAGTAAATTATATAATTGAATAATAAGGATCCCTAGTTAACATAGAGGCAGACAGATGACCTGACTTGGGAGACTTATGAGTTAGCAACTCTATGTCTATATCTCTGTCTATCTCTTCCCCACTGTCTTATTTGCTTCTAAGTCTTTACAGTACAAGGAAAAGGGATACACAAAAATTTGCAAATTAATTGTCACAGAAGGTGACAGCAATTCTCAGGCTCTCAGAAATTAGAAACTTAGAAATTGTGAACACGTTTGTTGTTTGTCCATCATGGGACTTAAACTCAGGGCCTGGGTGTTATGCCTGAGCCTCTTTGTGCTCAAAGCTGTCACTGTACCACTTTGAGCTACAGCACCATTTCTGGCTTTTGAGTGGTTAATTGGAAATAAGAGTCTCACAGGGGACTTTTCTCTCTCGGCTGGCTTTGAACTGTGATCCTTAAATCTCAGCCTCCTGAGTAGCTAGGATTACAGACTTGAGCAACCAGTGCCTGGCTCTCAGTTTTAATGCAGAAATTGTGAGCAAGTTTTTTTGTTTTGTTTTTTTTTAAGCTAAGCCTGGAGATCAGAATTATGTAGAACCTAGGAGAAGGAATCCATAACTATCACTTGGAAGACAGATAGTATTTTGCAGGGTTTTTAAAAAATATTTTTATTGTGAAAATACTGTACAGAGGGGTTACAATTACATGGGCAAGATAATGAGTACATTTCGTATCAAGCATTGTAGCCTCCTCCTTTGTTTACCCTTCCCATCCCTTCCCAGCCTCCCCCCACTCTCTCACCCAATCCTCCCCCCCACCAAAGTTGTAAAGTTCGTTTTCGACATGACAACTTGTACTTCTCATTGTTGCAACGGGTCCACCTGTATCCTTATTTAAACGACTTGTTTTTCTCTTCCCCTCCACAAACTATACCGACATCAAATACAGTGAAAGCAGGGGTTATACTGTGGGGGAGGGGCATAGAAAGCAAAAAAGAAATAATCTTATAAATG